CTTAATAAAAATGTTTAAAACCCACTCTTAAACCATAACTCTAAGTTGCAGCTGAATATGAAATATCCATTTACAGCCAATTTATGAAATATCCATTTACAGCCAATTACACATAATTTCTGTCATGCTTTGGAAGATATGCACTAGGAATATTAAAACCCAAAATCCCCACAACTCTAGGTGAAAAGACTTAAAACCTTTCAAGATATGCTTAGGCAGAAATGCAGTGAGCCTTGTAACTTAACAGCAGGCATCTATGGGAAGTATGTACAGCACATAGACAACCTTGGCCTTACATATTATAAAAGAACTGCTACCAGTGAAAACTTGTTGTTCTAGGAACAACACAATCTATTAATCATTCTCAGGATTCTTTTTCCTAGATGAATCACAAGACAATTAAGCTTGGGGCAAAACTGACTCTTCCAGTGTCACAAAACCCGTAACAGAACCCCTTCTGCCTCCAGTGATGAAATAGGCCTTAGAAAAAAACCTAAAAATCTGCATGAAATCTAGTGAGGACAGACAAAGGCAAACTCACTTAAATCTTAATGTTACAAGTACTCGTGCTTAAACTGCAGGAACAGCTTTCAGTTTAACTAGTTGCCCAGCTGCAATGCAGGAAATTTTTCACAAGGCGAAAATTAATACCTATATTCATGGCCCTTCTACATAATTGCTTATTATGGCATGTTCCACTGAAACACTTATTCACAGGATGCAGTTCTTACTTTGGAAATGAAGGTCTCCAGTGGAGAGTTGTTCCCATTTAAAATGTTCCTGCCTCACAGCAGGACTCCAGGATACTTCTGTAATTCAGATTCCAGATGAGAATAATCACTTATGGTCAAGTTCCCAAAGAAGAGGGAATACTGAACTAACAGAGAAAGATGACATTCTCTTTATGGGTGTATGTGTGTTCGTACTGAAAACTAACATAATGGAAAGCAAAAGTGTTGGTGGGAAGATATATCGTCTATTTGTGTGCATTACTATCAGAAGTCTATCCCCCTATCTACCCACATATTTTGTTCCACTAAATTCTAAAAACAGCCTATGACCTGCTTGAGAAATGAAGTATCAACCAGATGTTTCCTGAGCAAAGACAACTTGTGTTTCCCTTCACACATCATCTTCTGAGAGGCAGCACTACGGTGACTGCATATCTGACATCATTATCTATGTTGACTTTGGGTTACTCGGAATCTTTCCTTTCCTTTACCTTCCAACTCAAATACAGTAGTTTTACAGGGAGATCACATGGACAGAATGGATCTGAATGCCTAGAACACAATGTGGAAGAAAGGTTCACATTCACTTTGTCACAACATCACGCCTTACGGAAACTGGGGATGGGTGACCAGTCATCCCCGAGAAGAACCACTTCTTTATGTGAAGAACAACATGCAAAAATATGTTTTTGTAAGAGCCAGTAATTAAAAAAAAAAAGTTCTATATGAGAATAGATCCAAAGCTCATGATGATTTATGGAAAGTCTGATTATTGCACTTTGGATGAGATGCCTGTTTATTGCCAGAAACTACAGCATTTTTCTAATTCTATTTGGCTACTCAGAAAACTTCCTTAGTCCTATTAATCTATAGAGTGTGATACCTATCAATCTGTTAATGGGAGTGGGATATAGAAAAAACTCAATCACCATCTAACATAAATGCTTCATTCTTTTTATTCAAACAACCCTATGTTTACAAGAGATCACGCTGAAAGAACAAACTTTGAGCTCCATTTTTAGGCAAGCTGGTGGAAACAGAAAGCTAACTTTCAGGCGCTACATTAACATAGAGCACGGGAAGGGGGGGGTTCCATTATTTTTAACCCTGCGCACCAGAACTCATAATGCATAATGCCTTACAACTTTCACAGCAGGTGAATTTCTGTTCAAGCTATCCAGAAAAATTCACATGAGGCATGTATGGTTCAGACAAGATCAATATTTAATCAGCCACGAATAAAGACCTAAAATGCTTTACGAATGTCTTTACATCCAAAGACTGAAAAATATCAACACTTTCTTTCTGATCGTAATCTCTGGTTTAGACAAGAAGCCACGTCGCACAAAGCTGGAAAGGCTTTTTCTTCCCTAGTAACACAAGATAGGTGTAGGAACGTGTACTTCAATAAACTGAAGTGTCACTGCATATTTATGTCACTATTAAAGCCCATGGGGGCCTAAATTTAACAGAAGATCTGATCTTGCATGCATCTGACATCATCGGTTAGTTGCTTGTAAATAGAGGAAAAGCTGTTTTCAGTAGCTACGGTTTCATCCAATGTGTCTCAATTCGGAAAGCGGCGTGCAGCACAAGACACTGCCTGTGCGACAGTTTTCATAAGGGTACATGAGCAAAGGCCGTATTCTGTACTCTCAGTGTGGGGTCTGTAGCAAACCAAGCTTGCATGCATCTGACATCATCGGTTAGTTGCTTGTAAATAGAGGAAAAGCTGTTTTCAGTAGCTACGGTTTCATCCAATGTGTCTCAATTCGGAAAGCGGCGTGCAGCACAAGACACTGCCTGTGCGACAGTTTTCATAAGGGTACATGAGCAAAGGCCGTATTCTGTACTCTCAGTGTGGGGTCTGTAGCAAACCAAGCTTTCAGCAGAGTGCTCCGTCCTGCCGTTTCAGCCCCCTGCAGACAAACGCATACTATGTCTTGCTAACAAATAACTATAAAGACAAAAACGCAATCATGAATTTATGAATATAAAACACTTTCACTCCTTCTCCTGCTTTCATTTCACCAAAGACTAGACAAAATTACGATTCGTTGGGGAAAAAGGATGAAAAAAAAAAATCACCTCATCTGTACATGATTCGAAGACTAGACAAAATTACGATTCGCTGGGGAAAAAGGATGAAAAAAAAAATCACCTCATCTGTACATGATTCACCTCTGTGTACATACTCAGCTCACTAGGTACACATTTCTTGTAAACCCTGAAACTCTAAGTTTTAAGGCAGGTTTACCATTTTTGTACTACTGTGTACAGAGGTCAGTTTTGTTCAGAAGGAATTGGAAATCAATTAGTTTGCATCATCGTTCCAGAAGATTCATCCTCAGCTAGTCCCCTTTTTAAATTCTGTTGTATCAAGCCTAGAATAGCTTGGTTTGCATTTCTATCTCCTTTTTTGAATAATCTACCTAGTCCCGCCTTTACTGCTTTGCTTCAGGACGTAACTTGTATTCACATCCTATTGTTCAAAAGCAACTCTGGTATTCTTGATTGCTTATGACATTTGGATTTCTACACACTTAGCACACTGTTAAAACGCTTTCTGAATTCTCAAGGTAATTTTTTTTTAAACACTTCCAAACAAAAAGAAATTTGAGAATTGATATACCCGGACAAAACACCATCATGGTATGAGGGAGAGAATTCATTTTCATACACACAAATAAAAACTTGGCTCCAGTTCCTGTAAGCGCATGTGTTCAAAAACTATGGAAAGTTAAAGAGAATTACACCTCAGAACTAATCTCTCATTTCTGTTCTTTATCTGCTGGGAAAAAAAAAAAAAAGCAACAGCTAAATTTAAAATGGATTGAAAGTTGTCTAAGCACTGTAATATTCAATTCAGTAATGGCCTCAAAGTCAGACACTTGAAAAATGCCTGAACTGCTGGCAGCGAGCTCTTCGGAACACATGGAATCCTACTTAGTTCTCATGAATCCAAGTTATTCTTTCAAAAGCATTTAAAAATAAAGCAGCCCGTGATATCTATCAGCCTGTCACTTGTAACCTGCCCAGCTTTGCCACTTCAAACGTGAGAGACAGAGAAAGAGCACTGCATGGATAGAATTATGATTTATTGGAAACAAACATTTAGACAAAGTATAAAGGCAATCACTTCAGCCATTTCTTTTTTAACAAGACAAAGCTACCCCATTACAAGATCTGTTCAGTAACAGGATTAGGTTTAGTAACAATGCAGAACATTTTAAATCCCTGAGATTGAGGCCCTCTCACCTTTTATGCTCTCCATCCTTCCCCCCTCACCCCACCCCCCACAAAGGTGCTGGAACTTTAGTTTCCCGCTCAGTTGTGCTTTTTAGTGGATTATCATCCAAAATTACAGTTTCATTCTTTACATCAGCATGAAATTAAAAAACGCAAGAAAGCCCAAGTTTCACATCAAGTTCGTTCACACTCAGTTGCAGGCATCCAGTTCAAAATTACTTCCAATTTCAAGTTCGTATCCAAACTGCTTTATAAAGCTACTGACTCTGAAGATCCAACTTGTTCCCCTTAAATCAGACATGCAAGCCAACTCCTCCTTTTTTTCCCAGCTGGACACAGCTAATGGTTTTTACTTTCTGTACAAGGGTATTGGGATGTGAATGCAAGGCTTTAGGCACAAGTCCTTTCATATCTGGACTTAAAGCCATCACTAGGAAGCTTAGTAACACAGAGTTCCAGTTCCTTCTGCAGACCTCTAGTAATTTACCTGTATGCCCTCAGCATTTTTTAGGTTTATAGCAGGCAGGCAGATTAAGAAAGACAAACTTGGGTATCAAAAGTGCTTCCTCTTACGCAATGCAAGTTCCATTACTCAATTTCAGTAGGAAGCCACCCTGCAAGGCCACAACGGCAGCAGATCCAGGCATAACACATGCAGAGAATTTTCAGTCCAAGTTCAGACATCTTTCCTAGGAAGATTGTTGTCTCTTGTCCGAGGATGTAATATTTCAATCAACAGAACTCCTCTAGCTGACACATGTCAATCAGCATAAGCAAAGCAAGGGGGACAAGGCTGAACTTAAGTACTTTCAAAAGGATGCGGCTGATGTTGGTGTTACCTTGTCGGTGGCTAGCTCTTCAGTTGGAGATGGAAACAAAGAGTTAATAAAATTCAAGGCATAAACGAACTAAAATAAAATTGCTTCCAATGGTAGAGGTAGATTTTATCCAGCATAATATATAATAGCCACTCCTGTAAGTGCAGAGCTCTAGGAATTAAACAATTCAGATCAACTTGACCTATGTGCTCTTAGAATAATTACGGCAAGCTTTTTGCATATCCTTCAAGAAGGTAGGCACACCGCTCTGCAAAAAGAAAAGTGGAAAAGTCATTCTTGCATAATGTAATCAAGGCAAACTATAAGCAAGATGAGAATTCCCACTATATAGATCAAGGACTTGAAACAAATACAGGACAATTCTAAGATCTTGCACAAAATAGCAGACCATTCTTTTAACCCTTCATGAACAGACTGCATTATTGAAGTTTGCTTGTGTTAAGGCTATTCACATATGCTCTGGAACATGGATTTGTTGGTTTTGTTGCACAAATTTACCTGCCTGGTTGACTATCCAAAGGAATATCATATGAATGAAAAAAAAAATAAAATTTAAGACAACTACCACGAGAGCAGACAACAGCAAGATGAAAAATGGGACTGCATAGAGCTAGAAAGGTCAATACATCCATTTTAGAAAAAAGTAATTCTACCCAACATGCAGAAGACAGGTATGGATGCACTGAACACATTGTTTGAAACAGATGAGCCAAAGACAACTGTGCTGTCAACCTTTACTTACCTTGGCAGCCCAATTGACCAGCCATGATGGAATCATGCCACCAGGATTATCAAAATAGTACATGTAGACTAGAGACAAGAGAGAAGAGACCAGAAAGTTACCAGCCGTAGTATGAGCATTAGCTCTAACACCGTATGACAGACACTGCCAGTGTGCATGACTGAATCTCCAAGTACAACCGTTCTGCTCTAAATTCTTCACAAAAAAAGTCAACTTGTACTGAAGGGGAATGTGAAGTAATAATAGGCATATTCCCAGTTAACCTCTGGGAAGCTGGCAGCACCATAGTATTAATTTAGACTATTGCAAACCATTTTAGGCAGCCTGCCTTATAAAATAAGGATGTCTTTAAAGGACTAATCTCAGGCAGGAGTCATTCTAGGAAAACCCTTTAATCTACACATCTGTCAAACATGATACCTGAATCACTGCTGAGCTAACCAGATTGCAGCTAGCATCTGACGCTACCCAACTGAACTGACTGGCAGCGAAAGAAGCGTCGGCTGGGGGCAGGGGATGGTCTGGGGTGGCAGAATGAAGTGGTCTGTAGTCTATTCTTAACTACCCAGCCCAACTGCTAAATAATAAGATTCTTAACAGTAGCACACTGCACTGGACAATTCCAAAAGTTCCATTCATTTTAAAATATTCCTCGTGCTCAGTACATCCACTTTATAGTAACTGGGTTTAGCTTAAAATTTCCAGTCTCCTTCTTTCTGCACTCTTTGGCTACACGACCTGTGATCACACTTTCTTGACCTCTTACCTTTAGATCCAGTCTTGCCATCACTTTCTATTGCCAGACTTTGTTTATAGCTTTTAACTCTGATAATACCAGGCTTTTCAGGGCACTGCGGTACAGCCACACTCTGAGACAACACAACCCAGATCTTCCGCCCATCGACATCCATCTCTCGACATTCACGAATATAGACATACTGTATTCCACGTTGAGGAGGCATGTCAAAACAGTGTCACTTTGACATATGATGAATTGACAAGTGAATTCCATTACAAATACCACCCCCTTCACCTTATTTCTTATGCATCTACAGGATCCAATCCTGCAGAGTAATAATGCAGCTATGTGTGCTTTAGTTATGTGTGGGAAGAGGCACCCACACGCTTCTGCACGCTATACATATTCATGGAGCATGAGGACTGCAAGATCTTGGATCAAGTGCAGCAGAGCAGTAGAATCATTAAATTCCTGGGATCCCTGGATGATCAGCTGACAAAAACTGCAAGAGGAAAAAAAGCTTGAAAGGATACGTCTCTGTTTGAGAGAGGAAAAGGGTACTTCACTTCCCAGTAAATTACTTTTTCACCATCATATGTTTTCTCATACAGTTCTGCAGTTGAAAACGGAAGATTGTTAGTATTTTTAAATTCTACTGCAATAGAACCATACATGGCACCAAGAACTGCTCAGATTTCCCAAATGAGCACATTGTACATGCAACCCTTACGTCAAAATTGATAGTATGTAAAGTTGTAGCAGTAGAAGACACTAAAAAAAGTTCGGTAGCAGGGTTGTTCAGGAACTCAATACACAAAAGCAGGTGGCATTTTTTTCTGCTGCTATTGAATTCATTGATGAAGAAAAAAAAACAACAACCAGAAACAAGAAACAAAACCAACCAAAAACCCCAAAACACAAAACCAGAACAATTCTGGAGGCAGAGTCAAACTCCTTTTTGGACAGCTAGCTCATTCAAAGACTCTCCATCTCAAAGCTTTCTCCTCAACTATGCACATTCTGTATAATTCTGAGCCACAGGTACAGTATGCTTTTTCACAAGCATGTCATTATCCTTGTAAACGATTCTGAGTTAGCATGGAACTAGGACAAGTGCTGCTTTTTAATACCTGAAGAGGTCTTGTATGAGGGATTAATGAAGTTTGGAAAAGCTATTAGGAATTTCACAGCAGTATATAAAGGCAACAGTGAACAAGAAGCTTGGGCAGTTATAAGCCTTCATCACACCATCTTCAGTCTGCCTGGAAACTCAACAAGGCAGCTGAATAGGAAAAAAGTATCTAAGAATAGTCCCTAAAACATGGCAGTGACTCAGGTAGTAGTGCGGCCTAAAGGAGAAAAACTAGTTCAAATCAAACTACGTAACTGAGTGTGAAAAAATGTCTCTTGTACGGCTTCTTCCCTCGAGGCCATGACCACCATTATCAGGGTAATGGACACGATGAGCCATGCAGCTGTATCAGGGTAAATCCCTGTCTGCTCAGGGACTGGTCATGACACGGGTGCAGTTAGAAAGGGTGTGATCCAGAAAGGTGGTTCACACTAACCGTCAGAGTGGTCTTTTCCTCCTCCAGAGCAGACTCCTGCCTGAGGTGCTAGATATCTTTCAGAGCTAATGCCCACAATCTGCCACATCACTTTCCCTGGTTTGGAAAATAAGGCTAGAACAGACTGATAGTCTCATTGCTAATGCAAGAGGAGTGCCACAGATGGGAGATTCTTTCCCTGTACAACCTGTTCCAAACTAGGCTTCTGGTAGTACGCCCTGCAAGTCAGCTGTCACCCATGAAAACAGCTTCTCCTCTTCTCCAGGTTGGAGCAGTACTGGATGCACAAAACTCCGCGTTGTAACAAGCTGCAACATTATCCTATCCACCAGAGGTCACTGGAGCATTGCTTTAGTAACTTTCCTTTCCAACTGCAAAGCTTTCCTTTTTCAAAGGAATTAACACACTCTTTTTTAAACAACACCTCAATGCAATTATTGGTTACTAACTCATCTACCTCTACGTCTGCAAACACAGAAAAAACACACAGTAAGTCACGTCACATCTGTAGTCACTTTAGTCTGTCAATACTAGGGGACAGCTTCTGATCAAAGCAGAATACGGGGCATTTCAATCAATCACCACATTTCACTTGGCATCACTACAATAGATCACAAGTCCATTTTATTCATAACAGGCACAGCTGCATTGGCTGCTTCAGCAGTCAATCACTACCATTAAATTGTTGGGAAGCACGGTCTCATTCCGGACAGTGTTGCAACCAGAAGCAGCACGTTTCAATATTGCTCAGGCCCAAGCATTTTGTATCATGCCACAGAAGCACGTGGTACCTCAGTCCCCTCGCTGCTGAACGGGCAGCTGCAGCACAGACCAGGCCTCGGGATGCCCTCATCTCGCAGCTATCCAGGAGCCTGCTTTGGAAATAGCCAGGGCACTAACAGCAATGCAGGAACAGTGGCAGACTGACACCAAAATTTCTGAGGCCTCAGGCAAACCCTCGGTCATGTGTTTTTCCAAAAGAGTAACCTCCTTGTGAACAGCCTCTTTGCTTCGGGAAACACAAAGCAGTCTTGTCTTCCAAGTCTCCAAGCCTTCTTTTCACATCTGTTTATTCCTTCGCTAGCATTTATTTTTGGCCTTGAAAGAAAAACATAACTCCACATTAAAGGGATGGTGTCCAGTTAAAACCCACAGACTGGACCACCCCTTCGCTCCTCCTTTGCATGGGAAGATCAAAGCATGACCCTCTGAAGTACTCACAGGAATCCTGTCCATATCTGCCTCCAGTCAGGCCTTCATAAAGAGTTCTGCTCAACTAGAGGATAGAGATTAGCTCCTCTCATGCTTAGTGCAGGAGCAGTTTCCTTTTCAACTAAAAAGGCAGCTGGACACATTTTTATTTCAATGCCAGCCAGCAGTTCAGCAGAGAACTCTCCTTTGGACTGCCATTATTGCATAGCTGTAAGAGCAACAGGGAATACAAACAGTAAAACAAAGAGCAAGAAGGCTCTGAATGGAAGTTTTCTGGGTTTTTCTCCCTCAATGTAAAAAGAGAAAAACCAAAGTTGTATCGTTTACATTGAAAATGTTGGTTAGCACTAGTTCATCATACATACAGTTCTAAAGAACAGGTGGGCTTGTGTCAATTTTTAAGCTAAAACGAAAGCGTTAACATTATGTTTACACCCATCAAAAGCTGACTTCTGTGAACGGCTGGACCTGAAGTACCAGCACAAATTCACAGATGAACATATCGTGGTCAGCAAGGATATAAACACCAGCTCTGCAACGTTATCTAGTTTTTAGTTTAAGGGTGTAGCTTCCCCCAACCACTTCCTTTCTTTTCTCTAAGAAGGCATTACCAAAAAAAAAAATAAAAGTGTTTGTTTAAGAAGGATTCAGTTCTCCTAAATGCACTTAAATCAAAGACTACTGAAGTAACTCAAGAGAACATATTATTTTTACATCCAATATGATAACGTTGAGTCCTTCTCCAGCTCTTTTTGTTTCACTAATGGCAAAGCGGCCTTTGCTACAAGAAAGCTATCGCCCATTTTGACAAACGCCACTTTCTAGGGAAGACACAGCTTCTTAGGCTTGACCAAGTACTGACACGAGTCATGTATGTGGTTCTCTGTATCAGTACAGGCACAGGCATTACCAGTAACCATTTGCCATAGAGCTGTCTTAGACCTACCAAGCACAACATTTAACAATTTTTGGGGTTTTGATACTGTTCTTTGTTCAGCCAAACACTCTGACGACGTTTCAGTTTTACTGGCCGGAACTGATTTTAAGCACAGGCTTAAAAGGGAAAGGCTCCCCATCTTTAAAATAAACAGATTACTGGAGGCCTACATCAGCTGATTCCTTGCCTTGTCACTGCTGACTTAAGGTGTTTTAACACCATATGGATATCCAGGTTCATGTCCCTTTTCAAAGACATCATTAAATAAACACAACTAAATTAGTTATTCCTTTCTCTGTGAAAGCCCAAAGTCACAAACTATTCTCTCGATACACCCATTTCTGATTGTAAAAGGTGCCAAGAACAACCAGTGCTTTCAGGAAAAGACATTCTATCACACATCAAACTGGTGCAAGCCAGAGGAAAATTTTTCACAGTGAGAACAACCAGCCATTGGAATAATCTCCTCAGGGAAGCGGTGGATTCCCCAACATTGGACATGGTTAAGATCTGGCTGGACAGGGTGCGGGGCCATCTCACCGAGACCGTGCTTTTGCCAAGAAAGGTTGGACCAGATGATCCTCGAGGTCCCTTCCAACCTGGCACTCTATGATTCTACAATTGCATTGCTCCACTGCAATATGCAAAGATGCACAAAAGGTAACATCTCCATTTCTCCCTAGAACATCTAAAATTTAACCTAGGAATTACAACACCCAGAGGCTGCAAGGTGCTCCAGCAGAACAAATGATGCCAATTATACACTTTAACCAACATAGAAAGAATTCATTCCAGGAGAAATCTATATGGTGATGAGATATTAGCTGTTCACGTCAGCGTTTACTCGTGTATTTGCAGAGTGCAACTGTATCCCAAAAGATACTTAAGTCTGGCCTGAAGTCTTTGGACGCAGCAACCTTAAAACACCTTTGAAGAAGTTTTCAGTGGGAAGAGTCCATGTGGACATAAAACTTGCTTTTAAACTGCCTAGATGAGCTTACCTTTAACATACTGATCCCACTGCTTCCTGAAATCTAAGTCCATATAGACATCCACGCACAGTTTTGGGGGACAGTCAGCAAGACCACCGAAGATTTTATACTCATAAAGTCCTGATTGCTGTGGAAACAGAATGGGGAGAGGAAAAGTCACACAGGAAAGGGAAGTACTCTGCAGCAGAGAGAGCAGATGAAGGAAGTTAGGTGGGGCACATACTACAAATATGCTCAAAAGCTGTGAAAGCAAGTGTTCAAAAAACAATACAAGATTCAGTCTTTAACCTCTCGACTTTTTGATCTATACATGAAAGTTTAAATCCAGACAGGCTGACCTGCCCTGCACAATGGTTGTTCCTTCCCTTATACCAGTATCCTTTTACTTGGTAAGTAGTTCCAAAGGGAGCATGTTTCTTCACACACACCACGCCCCTTTTAATCTCCCGTGCTCAGTATGGACTAAATCCTGCCCACACTGAAGCTTACCAGCAGCATTAAATTCTTGTGGCAAGGTCTACAGACCCTATATAATGTGCTTAAGAATCTCAGCCATTTCCAGGAGGTTACCAGGTACTGCACAATCTGGAATACTCTTTCCAGCAAGTTAGGTACGCTTATACTCCAGGCTGTGATACAAGAATGCTTTACCAAGTTCACGCTTATATACAGCGCACTGTTACATCTGCCATGAATATTTGCTATTTTCTTTCTGAAAGCTGTCTGCACTGAAGGGTGGGGTGCAGGATATCTCCTATGTGAATGCTCTCAACATATGGAAACTCCATCTGTGCCTATAGAGCAATGTTTGTACTATTGTTAGTACCAGTGCAGGACTAAATTAAAACAATGACAGTATTTTGAACATACACCGTAGGAGTCAAATTCAAGCATTCCCAAGGAAAGGGAGGGAAGGATTATACAACATTCTGTCAGTTAATGGCCGATTTTTCTTCTTCCCTTCCCCTTCACAAATCAACACTAGAAGATAAAGATTTGATGTACCAGAAGATACTAACAGGACCAGGAAGCTCTACCTACTCATCTTCACTGTGGCTTCACTGAAGCATCCATCACTAGCTTCAAACCTGAACTGTTCAGCATCTGTGCAGCCCCCTGCACTCATATCACCTTTGTAAAAGGCACCAACACTTTTATTTTCCTAAGACTAATTTTTAAAATACCACACCTGAAAACGAGCCGGCACCCAACAGCATATGCCCAAGCAAACAGTGGTACTTCAAAAATAGTTGTTTCAGCTTAAACACTATTTCCTTCCAGGTCACTAGTCAGAAACACTATGTGGATTATCTTGCACGTATCTGCATTTACATTAAATGTCACATAAGGCAGGAGAACAGCAAATCACAATTCTCTTCGTTCTTCTAGTAATTCAGAAAAAAACTCTTACTTCCCCATGTCATGGGGCTGCTCTTCCACCGAAGAACAGAAGCCTTTGTATTCTTTTCTTGGACTTTGATTAGGACTGCATCTTGAGAGGTAACAAGCAAGCTCACCCACAACTTTAATGCTGCAGTTAACATGCAAAGCTAGCTGTTCATCAGCACACTCCCCGTTTCTTTGCATCCTTTATCTTCCTCTTAATCTGTCTGACAGAAGAAAGCCATGCAGTAATTTTCTCCTTTAAGCTACCAGAGCTTGCCTCAAAGACCTGGCGTAGACTGTGCTTTGTACCTTAGTGACGACAGACACTTTCACACTTCCAGACCAAAAGCTCTAAGACCACAAACTATTACAGGGCATTGCTTGTTTCTAAAGCTTTTATATTCCACCCAATCAGCAGCTGGAAGTGCCTGTAACACTATTAATTCAGGATTATCAAAAGATCCGCACACAATATAGGTCTTTGAAGCATTTTTTGCTATAAACAGAACCTCCATCAAAGGTTAGAACAGAGCTGTAGTGATGTCATTCACTGTCACATCATTCAGAAGCCAGCAAATACAGAGTGCAAGTGCTGCACTACCTAATCTCCTGACTTAACCTATGGGACTCTACCTTACATTCAATGGTAGGCTCCCAACTGGTTCACAGTGTCAGTTCAGTCATTCTTACATCTGTGGCCTTCAACTTCTCATGCTGTAGCTCAAGACAGATCCAGAAATTAGGTAGTTATTCTCTACCAATCTATTTGTCCACTGCTAGACAAATCATGGCATACATCACTAAATACCTTCTACTAAAAAAGGTAGTATTTTGACACAAGTACAAAATAACAAATCATGACCTGAAGAGTGAACAGTACATCTTGCAGGAGTTAAGACAGACAAAGACATTCAATAAGAACAGCAATTTACAACAAGAAAGTTAAAACAAGAGGGAAATGTTTCAAGTTTTCAGAGGCCTATCAGCAGGTTGGAATACAGCACAGAGCAGGAAAGCCCGGGAGATATATCTGTGTAGCCTGCGCAGAACGAGGAAAGTGAAGGCAACAGAAAATACAATTGCTGCCTTCCGCTTCCTGGACTGCCACTGCTATGGTGGACTTGCAGTTCAGTAAGTGTTAAAAGCCAATTTTTCCAGTAACAACTTTAAGCAAAGACCCTCCTCCTAGGGTCTTCTTCTCCTGTGGCAATTTGAAGCAACTGAAAGACAAAACAAAGACTTATTTCCCAGCAGAATCAGAACACTGGACTCGAAAAGCTCCCTTGCATCCTACCTAGTCCGTCCATCTCACCTAAATTAGGGTCACTGTACGATACACACACACACACAACACCTCTCAGTGGTTTTTAGTCAGCTCAATAGTCCTTCTATACAAAAGCATGAGAAGGAGAAGCCTGAGCTACTTTCCATCTAACCAGCTTCAATTGATACAACGGCAGCAAAGCCACAGCAACACAGGCTGCCCCAAGCCAAGCCTCATGGACGCCTCATCCCACGTTTGGCTAAACGCAGCCTCCAACCTCCCCAAATTACTCTGCCCTCATTCACTGTGTGATGCATTTGCAGGTTTGCAATGAGCTCCAGTCCTAAAGCTTCTATTTCATCCGCTCCAGAAGCAACGCTCCCAGTACCCTCCACTCCATCAGCACATCCAGTTCCTGCGCAGGTACCCGGCAGACACCCAGGCTCGCCGTTGCTGTGTGCACTCACTGACAAACTTGTCTTGCTATTGCCAGCTACATGTCCGTGCTGTCAAAAGGGACTATTTACCACCAAAAAGCTCCAAGGAGTAGGAAGTGACTTTTTTTTTTTAAAGAGACTTTCCCTGCCCTGTCTTGCCTTTCACGCACACCTATGCATTTGCTTTACTTGCTACTTTTTTCTAACATGACCATGGCCTGAAATGATTTTTCGGAATACAAGTACAAAACGTTCACGCAAAGCACAGTATAAAGTCCAGCTTTATAAGGAGTTCAGAGGTAACTATGATCACAGAGTTAAAGAAATAGGATGTTTATATGGATTCAAAAGTCATTATTAAATCATAAATCTGCACAAGAACGGAAACCCTCACTACATTAATCACAAATCAGTTCTGGAAGCCTAAACTTCTAAAGTTCCTAAAAGAAGTAGGTCCCCCAAAAAGGGGAAAATTTAATTCCAACCCTTTTGGAACTATCTCCCGATTTTAGAGGGAGCAAGGTGGAAAATCAGTTTGAAGGGAGTTTTGCAGAGGGCCAGAAGGAAGGGAAGCAGGAGTCTGCAGATCAGGAGGATGCTCTAACACAGGAGGTGCTCAGGGGCCGGTGCCCCGGGCCGGGTCTCTCCTTCACCGCACACACCGCTCAGAGGGGCTGGCGGGAGAAGCGGGACGCGCCGAGCAAGCGCCCCGTTGGAGCTGCCCTTGCCGCCGAGAGCACCTTCCAGCAGGAACTTCTGCAGGCACCAGCTAAGGAGCCTGCCGAGCCTCACCGCTCGCAGGTTCCCCCAGCAGCCTGTCAGCGCGGTGTTCACCGCAGCGGAGCAGCTTTCTCCATCAGCAGTTAATAGCATTACCCTGAAAGCTGCTTTCTGGGAGCCTGGAGAAACTGAGCCGAGGCCGGCAGCACCCGGACGGGCAACGGCCCCTCGGCCTGACCTGTGCGGGGAACGGGCGGCTCTGGACGGGGACAGGCTGGCGCT